CATTTCTCTTATTTTTTGCTGTTCATGAGCTGCAAACAAAAACACAAAATTAAATGATCTTAAATCCAGTTTTCAAGTCCATGCACGTTCTTTGATTACATGGAAACAGACTGTTCTTGATCAAAACGCAGCAAACAATTTAGTGAGACTGCAATAAAAGGTTTGCCAACTTTCTATCAACTTTGAGTGAATAGTTTTGTTTAATCAAACAAGATGTTCTTTTTGGAAAAGAAAAAAAACTGAACGGTGCAGTGGATGAGCGACAACAGTGTTGTTGACATAAATGATTTAAAAATCTTAGGAAAAAAAATTGCAGCACCCGCCTCTTTCCTCTGTTCTGTCCTTTCCTCTGCTGGGCAGAGTTTATGGAGTAGAAATGACATAAAGATTTTTTAATAACAAGTATTCAGCATAAATTATTCTATTATGATGTTTTAGCGCAGCACTGGAACCTGTAAGTTGTTGATGATGTCTGAGACAGTACGAGTCTCTTGTGCATCTCTGAATCTTGAAACAAGCTATAAATAGACCACTTTAGGTTTTTCCAGTCATCCTACAACAGAGGTTTTGTTGCTCTCGCTCTAACTGTGCAGCTTCTGTTCACCTTTCCTGTGGACTTCACTCCCTTCCAGACACAGAAGTAGCAGATGAGCCAGACGACGGCCAAACACAAAGCCAGCTTCCAGCTGACCGGTCCCAGCTCGTCCAAAGTGTCCGACAGCYGCAGCACCTCCCGCCTAAAATACAGAGGCAGCTGTTATAACAGGGGGGGAGACATCAYCGAGACCCTGAACGACTCTGAAGTTCTCATTCTCACTCCCAGAACTCCATGACAGGAGAGGTGGCGTTCTCTGGTAAACTGCTCGAATTGGAGGTCTGGTTGTGATCGAACAAAACACAYGAATCTGGAGAAGTAAAGCAAAGATGACAAACTTTAGCTGCTTGTTAACGTGCTCTACCAACGGTTTCTCTTTTTACAGACTTGTGTTCCACGTGTTGTTGCAGTGCGACCACGGCAGCTCTGCCTGGAAGCTGTAGCTCAGGTAGAAGAGAGCCCACGCCAGGATGACTATATAATACACGCAGCCGTGCAGGATCATCACCTGGCTGGCATAGCCAAGGCCTGCGGGGAGACAAAAAGATGCAGACAGAGATGCAATGAGATACCCGAGCAGCAGAAACTGCCCTCCAGACAGTTTATCATCGTCAGTTCCAACTAAATGGAGTTTCAGATGAAAGCATCCTTTCACTGAGACACTCGACTTGCAGCCCACACCTACTTAATTGTCACTGAGAATGAATGTTTGTCTGAGGAGCTCTCGAGAGCAGGCGATCTGTCCAGACAAATAAGCCATTGTGGTGTTCTCTATTGAAATTCAGGCCTTTAATCTGGGACTAAATGGGCAATCCAGCAAGGATTCTGCACAGAAGCTGCTCTTTGATTAATATTAATA